AATTTAGTCAAATGAGGGATTCGTCGTTCGTGGGGCAACTGATGGGTTTTCGAGGTGCATAGTATACTCTAAGTGTTTCACTAACAATAGGAGTGAGACCGTGGGGATCTATTTCTTTCTGCTACACGCATTTTTGGTTGGCCATCATGTGTGAGAACAGACCACGGTGGGGAGAATATTAAGGTGTGGGAGCTGATAGAAGAGGCAAGAGGTTCAATTGACGATTGAACGTCTATAGAGAGACGTTTTTTGCATGTTGTGTCACATTTTCTACTACACTTTCAAGGCAATGGAGGAATCAGGTGTCCTTAACCGTGGCAATGACATTCACCCCTTTGTACTTCATTTTGTTTTCTGCCTATAACAAATAGAGGACTTGAGAGGCTTACCTCTGCCTAGAATAATCATCCGATTTGTACTGAGCGCATTTGGTCCCCTCTTCAAATCTGGACAAATGGCATAGTTGACATGCGAAATAACAGTATTGCTGCAGTATCAGATTTCCACCATGGTACTGCCATGGACGACCTTGAATGGTTTGGTTATGATTCTGAACCTGTACCTGGTGATGACGGTCTTAGTTTTCAGCAAGTTGAAGATGTGAATTTTGACTTACCAGAGGTAGTGCTGCAGGAGCTTGTTCGCGAAGTTGATCCACTGGAGTATTCTGACAGCTTTGGCATTGACGTGTACCTGAAGGCATTATCAACAATTTTGACTGCCATTAGTAAGTGACCCTGCTCATCCACTCACAGGTTGCTGAAATCTACAACTTCAGGAGTTATACAAGTACGCTGTTGTTTTTACACAGTGCAACAGCCACTAAACATTCACCCTTTTGTGTTATTAATTTGTTCTTAGATGTTACGAATTGCAATTTTTCAATAACACCTTTTTTGTGTTAATTGCCCGGTCAATGTTATCTGATCATTAGCACCCAAAGGTGGCCATGGCCTTAATGACCTAGTCCTGTTGAAATTTTAAGTCAGTTAAGTCCTAAAGTTACCTCTGGACAAATGTCATTTCAGAAATGGCACAAGTTTTTTACAGTTTGCGTAAAAATTGCCTAGTTGGGTGACTTGGTGAAGCTAGAGAACAGAAACTCAATATAAAATTAACTATGTTTTAATCAAAATAATCTCGATCTCAATAAGGTTTTACAATTGTTTTACTCTACAACTACGAGTTTACTCTCTACTTTATTAATCTAAATCCATCCTCCATCCACAAACATTTGAAAGAAATTTAACTTGACAAGTAAAAGATCTCGATATCAAACTGGACCATTAGGAACTGTGGTCGCAGGCCAAATGACAACAAAATCTTTCTTTTTTCAAGTGGACGTTTTTGTTGAGGATGTTTTTCTCTTCTGTTCACCATGTACTATGTACGTTTCAACTTTGTCACAAGTTCCCCTCTCCCATCATTGCTAATGGTCCACTATATACAAGTGCTCAATCTTAAACAAAGGTCTTTGAAGAAGCCTCAAGATAGGCAGTCCTGTACTGTAACCTTCAAAACATACTCTGGAGAGATAAAGTGATATTTTAAATAAAACAAATATTTCAGTATCATTACTAGCTTTAACACAACTCCTAACATGACCTACATTTACTAACAAGGCATAACCTGATTGCTAACGTTTCCTTCATGTTCGAGTTGTGTTCTGCTTTGGTGAAAAAGAAATTAACAAAAGCGAGAACAGATAGCAAACTCTTCATATTTAATCATGGTATTCGAGCAACAGGTCGATGACCAGGTACATTATGTACAAACAATGAGCTGTCCATAACAAACTTAAGCTAGAACGATTAATACAACATGCCTCTTTTAAAGAAGGTTTTCGAACCGAAAATCAGCCTACAAACATAAGCACATAAGTCTTA